TTATTTCAAACACTGCTATAAAATTATAGCATATCTTTCATTTCTTCACTTTTATAAATGCCTGTATTTTCATGTGTCTTCTTAATAATTTGTATAAAGCCATCCAATCTACATTTTAAAATTTGCTTTATATAAATTTAGTCTTTTGGTTTTTCAGATCGGTTTATGTCACCGCTAATAAGGAGTACTGCACTTCTTGTTAAATCCCCATACCCGCATGTGTACCTGTTAACCACTTCACAAGCGCCAGGCATGTTTAATATCAACCGTGGCAACATAATTACTCAATTTCAGTAATTTAGTTTGTAATTTCTCATCACATATTATGTTCCACTCTCCTTTTATTTTTTTAAATCTCCATATCCCTGGAAGATTCACAAATTCTTTCCCCTAAATTTGATTTTTCCTTTTAGATCTACGTTGCTTGAATCTTTTTGAGACTAAAGGAAACATTCAATAATAAATGAGTTACACTGAAATCCTTTTAATTAATTCAATTATTTCTTTACCATATCTTTTGACCTCATCATATTAATTTCTGGTGCCTATTTGATGTTATTATAAAATAATAATAATAACTAATATTAGCTACACCATTTATTGAGCATTCTACTAAATGCTAAACCAGGGGTCCTCAAACTACGGCCCGCGGGCCACATGCGGCCCTCCGAAAACATTTATTCGGCCCGCCAGGTGTTTTTGCCGCCGCTGTGTGCATAGGAATTTGTTCATAGTTTTTTTTTAAACTATAGTCCGGCCCTCCAACGGTCTGAGGGACAGTGAACTGGCCCCCTGTTTAAAAAGTTTGAGGACCCCTGGCTGCTAAACCATTGATATACATACTCTCATTTCACCCTAATCACTGCCCTGTGAAACAGATCTCAAAGTCTTGTTTAATAAATTTTAAAAACCTATCCAAAGTCACCCAGGTGGAGTTTGCTTGACTCCAAGCTACACTTATGTACTGCTGGCACTCTCATGATACTGAAGTCTAAACATCATACCTATAAACAGCCACTCCTACTGAGCCCCAACCTGTCTCCTCTCCCCTCTCTGATGCCCCTACTGGCTGTGTTTTGAAAGTCAATGTAAAGCACTTAAAAGTTGGCATTTAATGTGTATTCTCAGTGTTGAGAGGAGACTAAGTCTAATAAAGGGGGCAGCTCAGTTAACAGTGGCTATCTACTTGCCCCAAACACTTTGTCTTTACCTGTTTAAATTTTTGGTAAATTGATATGGCCTACAATTCAATTATGTGAGTTTCATTTCTATTTCCAGGATGTATGTTTTTTAGGAAAAAAAACACATAAAACTATTTGTGTGTTGTTTTATGCATATTTTAATGTAAATTAGTTTGATTGCTTTCCTTCTAACATGCCTCTGAAATTGGTAAATAGCCCTTAAAAGACAGAGAGCCTGGGTGAAAGGTGACAGTGCCCAGGATGGGGTATGCACCTGTCCTTCCTTTTGCTACATCGTTGTCTGATCCCACAGAGGTAACTCAATATATGAGATTATGGGTTGAATGAATTAGCATGGACTTATGGTCCACCTTGAAAAGTTCTAAGCAATTTAGGGCTATACTACTTAATTCTAGAGAGGTAAATAAGAACTCAGAAAGTAATAATCTAAGTGCTATAATGGGGTTAGATATTTTTGTGATGATTCTGTGGGAATATTATTGCCATTTTATATAGGGCACGGGTTCTACAGAGAAATAGGCTTTGAGTTCCAAATAAATACTGTACCAATGAATTGTATAGCAGTCTCTGTTGAAATGTTATGGACCACCCTTTTAAAAACAGACTCTGAGATAATTTTAAAATATCAGATATGGCTAATGTAAAAAGTAAAAATCATATTTAAATAAAATGATCAAATTCCCCATATCAATTTGCAGATATACTATCTGCATGGTTTGATTTTCAATTATTGCTAATTATATTAATTAATCATTATATAACTCCCAGAAGGGTAGTTGATCTATGCTGAATTATAATTTGTTCTGTTACATTTAATAGACAAATTCCATTTTTCTGAACCAATGAAGAGCAGAGAATGTTGGTCTTATAGAACAAATAAAAGCTGATCTTTGAACATCTGCCAAGAGTAGAATAGATAAGGAGAATGCAATAGACATGCAAGGGTGCATTGGCTACACAGTTAAATTCTGTTTTGAGGGGGAAAAAAACAAGTAATCATCCACTGATTAAATAGAAATCATATCTGCAAATGCCTTTTGTTGTTCTTATTAAATACAGATGCTCTGCTTTTTATTTCCTAATATACTTAAAATATTCTTAGGATGACAGTAACAATAGGCATTTCTCTAGAGATGCTTGCCTGGTGAGTTATTAAAGAGACTTTTAGAAAATTAGTAAGCGTTGCTTACAAACTATCAGTCAGAAGCTTGCAAATTGCAGGGAGGCAATGCCATGTAAAATGTGGAGGGTGTAGTTAAAAAAGAAACTTCGCTAACACTTGATGACATCACATCAACGCTCCTTGACGGCTTCACTGGCATTTCGGGAACACAGCTCAGGAGTACAGCACGTGCTCCACATGTCGGAGGCTTCGGATGCAATCTCAGGTGTCTCAGATTTGAAAAGCGGGTTAGCTACAGATAATACTTTCCATGACTTAGAGGCCATGTAAATTTGGGTAGATTACATAAACTTTCTATATCTTTGTTTCCTCATCTGTTAAATGATTTTTTTCAAGAATTAGATCTAATGTACTAAATGTACTTAGCTCAAAACAAGCTTTTAATTGGCACTTGTTATCAAAATAAGGAAGAAAAGAATGAAACTATAACGCTAAATATCCATAATTAAAAAGAAAAGAATGCTGTTGAGAATTTTAATCTAAGGAACTGTTAGTAGGGAAATTAATAATAACCAAATCTATCTGTGCTCGTAACTGATGAAGAACCATCCATAATTATAGAGAATTACATCCTGAAAGTCCTCAGGTGATGTTGATTCTCCAGGAAAACCATTTGAAAACCACTGCCACAGAAGATGTTTAGGAAATTATATTGCTTAGTATAATTAGTCTTTTGCCAAGACTTACATTTTTTCTAGCCTACAATAAATAGTGTCAACGTTATGTAAGCTTGAAGCCTCAGACATTCATTTATTTATATATTGGAATGGAATCAAAACTTGTTTTTCTGAAAAATATTTTGAGTCATGCCTATGGTACTCTTTAGTCAGTCCTCCTGTGAGAAATTCCTGTCATGTAGCCACAGTAATTATCATTGCGATTCCTTTTAAGGGACTTGTTTCTATTGCATTTAACTATGTAAATCATACAACCAACCCAGTTTCTCTTTCTGCCTCTGCTGCTTGTTGGGAAGCTCATGGTCAAAGCAGAAGCTCCACACAGGGCAGGTATATAAGATCTCACATTGCATTTTGCTCACAAACTTTGCCTTGTCTTGTCTTGACTTCATTTTCTCCTGACACTCATTTCTTCATTGACAACACTATTGAAAGTATTATATGTATTTTTAAAAATCACCTACATTCCTGAAGTATCGTGGGGTATAAACAAGCAAATAAAATAAATTTGTGTTATCTGAAGACATGTCTACGAAAGTTTTAATATCCTATTTTATTAGGACTTCATGCCTTGGTCTTAGGATTATATGAAATGAATGAGAGATTAGAGCATAAGAGGCCACATAAGATCAGGTCTCTCTATATAGCCCAAGGAAGAAATATAAAAAAATACCTGGGAAGGCAGAGCTATCACTTCTGATATCAAGTTCAAAAGGTTAGGGATGTATCTGACATATACCATTACAAAACTATTTTCTGTGAAATTCACCAAACCTATTTCAAGGTATTCATACTTTTATTTTAGAGAACAATTTCTAGAAGTTTGGAACCCAATGAGTAAAGGCAAGGCTATTTTTGTTTGTCTTCAGTTTACCTCTCTTGGCTTTAGGCTGTGCCATTTCCAGCACACCAGAATTTTGTGATGAACAATCTTATGTTCACTGTGTCAGTATTTGAGGAAGAGATTGTGGCTTGAAAGATAATGTTGATGTAAGAATCTCTGCCTCTTCCAGGTTATATTGTGGAGAATCTAGAAACTCCTTCTACTTATCACATATGCACATGTTTACTTAATTCTTGACTTTACCAAAGAATGGAGTATAATGGAGAGAAACTGAAGGTTTAAAAGGTAAATATAAAATATATGTAAGTATATAAAAATCCAAACTGCTTTTCTCTATCACACAGATAAACCACAAATATGACATGATTGCAATGATTAAATTACCAAATCATAGAATACATATTCACTAAATGTTATGAGTAAGGTTTGTGATTTTCATTCCTTTATTAACTCTTAAATAGGTACGTTAGAACAAGTTTTTCCATGACTTTGGCCATTAATGATATCATGAACTTTAAAATATTTTGAAAATATAAAGGCAATGAAGAGCAAGAGCAATGAAATACTTTTTTCCTACCTTGGTAAACCTCATACCTCAACTTATTCCCAAAAAGTAGTTTAAAAAGACTATTGCTAAAAAATCTTTTGAACTCCTTACACCACCTCATGAGTATGTATTTTTTTCTAATACCTCATTTATAAACCAGATTCAGTTAAAATATTATAAAATCAAAAAATTCCATTTGTGTGTAGGAAAACAGTAAGAAGATAATAGTTCTTAAACATTTTGAGGGTGTTAGAACCTTTATCGGTTTTATAAAATGAAAAATTCTAAAATAATTATTTTTCAGACCATCTATGAGTTTCATTCCTTTAATATCCTATATTATAAAATTATTTTTTAAAAATATAAGGCAAATTCTATACCTAAAAGTCGGTATACACATATATAATAAATTTCAGCATTTAATAATATCATGGGGCTATTGAATTATATGTTCATGTCTGACTAATCTGCATTCAGCTGTTTAAAAGAATCTAATAGTTTCATATGATTGATTATTTTACAACTTTTAAAAAGAAAAATGTCTTGCCTTTGAATGGTAATCCTGTTCCAGTCTGGGATCTGATCCGGCTACCTGTTTGTATTTGTTAATTTTCATTTGGCGATTTCTCTCCTCTATATCCATAGCACCTATCGAGTAGAAAAAAACCCATAAAATTAATGTTCAGGTCTTATTTGTGAGCCCTAGTTACAGGACGTATAAAAGAAGAATTGCTAGGCTGATATATTACTGTCATTCAAGGTAATATATACAAATTAAATTTATTACTTTTAGGTATATTTAAAGTATGCAATTTTGCAAATAAAAGCATGATTATGAAATATATTAAATAATTTTAATCTGAAGAAAAGGTAAATGAATTTAAACAAAAGACAAACAAATCTTCACTAGATAGAAAACACTTTCTGGTACATGTAGGTCAAGGAATATAGATTTGACAGCACATAGATTTGACAACTGTACTATTATAAAAGCTTTGGATTATAATACATCAAGACTTGATTTATTTACTGGAGAAAAGTTGTAAGTTTAATTGGTTTCAAATACAATTTTACAATTAGGCTAATTTAACAAGATTAGCCCGTGTATTAAAACAGGTTGCCCTAGCATACATGTGGATGCAGTTATCAGTATATTTTGAACTTGAATTTTCAAGAACTGGGATCAAGAAAGAAGCACTTAGAATAATACTACTCAGAAGAAATCATGACAGTAAAGGCACAGAGTATTACTGAAGTCATTTCAGAAAAAGAAAAAAAGTGAGGAGGTGAGAGAGCGAGATGGTAAGCTTTTAAAATGAGATTAATGCCCTCTACAATAGGTAGACACATCAAGACACATCAGTCAGGGGGAGTCTTTAAAAACTTTTGTTAGGATAAGAACTAAGTTCTGTTAGCAAATTTTAGCAAATATAAAGAAAGTGCTTTAAAAGTATATTTGTGATTTTTATTAGACATTTTATAGAAAAACTAGAGGCCCAATGCACGAAAATTGTGCAAGGGGCTCAGCCCCTGCCATGGCCGAGGTGGCTGCCTTGGCCCCCACCGCCACGATGGCTAGGGCCCCCGCCTGCTGCGGCTTTGTCCGGAAGGACGTCTGGTCTAATTAGCATATTACACTTTTATTATTAAAGATTCCATTTCTCAAGTAAAAAAACAAATAAAAACAAAATCTCAATTGTATACTACAAATTTTCAAACTGGGAAAAATAATCATAGCTTAGTAGGCTGGTAACTATAATAAAATGTTGTCAAGTAAATGCACATGCACTGAGTGTAGGTAGAAATTTAAACACATTCATACATACCCCTTGCTTAAGATCATAACTTTAAATTGCAATAAAGATATCTGGATAAAAATGTGCCTGTTTAAAGGTAGGCATTTTCATATTCATTCTTAAAAAATTTATATATCTGATAGTTCTTGATAGTAACAAATTTTAAGCAGAAATCAATTAATTAAATAATATAAAGAGGGGAAAAAGTTTCAAAGAGGACTAAGAAAATCTTAAAGAAAGTAATGTATAAAGACTTTACATTATATGACCTTTAAGTATAACAGCAAATTTAAATGAACTATTCAATAAAGTGAGGCAATCAGTTCATTTTAAGAGATACATTTTAATAAAAATTTGACAATTGATTATGCTATGTGTCAAATTATAAAATAGGAATAAACATATCATGTTAACATCAACTGAATGACACATAACATCAATTGAGTGCCTCTATGACATAAATGTGAAATATAGTCAAGTATCATATCTATTAATTGATTAAAATGCAAGTTTAGAATTGTTTATACCTCAGGAGATATTCTCAAGATATAAGATAAAACTTGTTTATTTTATCCAAGAGCAAGGGATGCCATCCAGGCATCGAAAAATATGTATACTGAAAAAATATTAACTACATTGAGAGTTTGGGAAGATTTTTTTTTAGAATGTTTCATTTTGATATTATATTTTGAAAACAGTATTTTAAATATGAATAGCACCAACTGACAAAAGTTTAAATACAATTTATATATACATATATACATACACATACATACAGATCCATACACACACACATACAAATATATGACTTTTCTAGTATTTAGACTATTTTCTGAACATCAACCTCTGATGAAGCTACATTAGATTCTTTCTGATTACTAGGTAGTATGGGTTATATGCTGGAGGAGCTAGCAAATGTTTTCTTTAAAGGGCCCAACAGTAAATATCCTAGGCTTTGCATACCATATGATTTCTGTCAAAACGCTGCCACTGCAACATTAAGGCAGCTACAGACAATGCATACACAAAAGAATTCAGCTATACTCTAATGAAACCTTATTTACAAACCAGGCAGCAGGCTGGATTTGATCTGTGGGCCACAGTTTGTGGGACCCCTGTGTTAAAGTATATTGGTTTAATATTGCTTAGTAATGGTTTAGAGATTTTGTAGAATCGGGGTTTTATGATGATCTTATCACTTACATGTAACAGATAACTGGGAGGTATAAGAGAGATATTAATCTGTAAGTAGAGTTTGCATCTTAACCTCTCAAATGTGTTCTCAACTAAATTCCAATCTCAAACACATCTCTCAACTCTGGACTCAATCATCATCTATAGATGGTCCTAAATGGAAAAATACTGTTAGAGCCTTAACCAATGTAATATCAAGGGACCACCTTAGAGAATATATAGTCAGCAAACTTGGGTAAATATACATGTAACTTACAACTTAAAATTCTCCTATGATGCTAATCCTTAGGAGAGTAACCCCATATGCCTGTTAGGCTCAGATGACGTTTTCCATTCCATTCCTTTTCTACATGTCATCAACCTAGTCTCATAAAGAAAACACTCCACAAACAATAATATCTTTGGAGAAGAATGTATCCTATTGATAACGAGATCCATCATAAAACATTCTTCACCAGCAAGTTCATTTTTCTTTGCTGGTCTTCTTTCCTAAGGAAAAATGACCTAGAAATAATATTTTCAACAACATTATTTTGGTTTCAACCAAACTCAGTCTTCTTTTTTCTTTCCCTGAGGAATGAAAAAGCAATTTAGAGAAATCATTGCAAGAAAAAGAGCTGTTCATTCTCTGGCTGGGGGATGAAATACATAATTTCTAAACTTTCAGCTCTGATGTCCAATGCTGTACTTATAGAAAAGGAAAATAAGTGAAATTGTTAAAGAGCAGGTTTTTGTTCACTATCCTATCTTTCAGATTTACACTGCAAATGTGCATACAAAAGGTCCTAAAAATTCTACAATAAAGAATAATCATTTGATCACAGAATCTACTCCCCCACCTAGTATCTATTAATATCTTGCTATAACAATGGCAAAAATACATGGTGGGGAATACTGGCTTACAAGTTTAGAGGGTAAATTTATCTAGGATTTTCTAAAATTCACATTCTTATATGTGTTAACACTACATTTATTACAAAAGACATATTAGTACTTTCATTTGATCCTTTAATTTGAGCATGCTAAAAATTAGTCATTATATGTTCAGCATCAAATGTCAAAGCCTTTTCAAATTATAATAAAAGTGATTAAGAAGTTAATGGGACAATCACACTTCTTGGACAAAGCCATTTACAATAAAAGTTTGCATATATTTCTATTTGTTGAGAAAATAATCTATTTAAGTGTATTAAATTATAATATTCAAACTGTTTGATTGGCTTTCCTAATAATGCTAATTTAAATTATAAAAGGCTTTGTTTTTTCCACTCTAAATATTTTAAGGCAGGTAACAAAAAGAAAAATCAAATGTAGATATGCTGAAATTCATAAATCTCTCAAAATGTTCTTCTCAAATTGGAAACACCAGTCCATTCTATGTCACATAATTTTAAAAATCCAATATTTTGTTGATTCTGATTTAATGTGTTTTCTAAAATCGTATCACATATTTGGTATCTATTTACTTTGGTATATATACGCCATTTAAGAGTTTTATTTGTTCTTAAGTCAATAAGCTTAAACCAATCAATGGTTATTTTAAACTTAAAAAAAAGGCTACTTAATGTGTCTAGAAAGTTAAAGTCATATGTATAATGTTGTTAAAACAATCAAGTTAAAATATTTAGTTCTGGGTGAATTTTGTATCTAGACATGAAGAAGAAAATGGGCAGATTAACAAGCAGCAAGCCAGTGGTTGTTTAGGTTTCACTTCCAACGTGTGCCGCAGAGATCAGACACGTTCAGGGAGCTCCGTACACTCCACACAGAATTAGTCTTGTTTGCTTTACCAACACACACATACGGCTTCTGCGGTCCCAAAGCAGCTTTACGCCCCAAATTCTTTGAAGTGGGGACACCGATTTGGAAGTGATTTCACAATGAGGCTGAACAGTAGTGATCAGAAATGACACTTGTGATCTTAAATGAAATGCTCAAATCTGGGGATCTCAAGAGAAGAATCTCTTAAACCTAATCCCAACGCTCCAAGACAGAACTCTAAAATTCAGAAAAATATGAGTGAACCTATAATCACAGACATCATGGAAGTCTAAGCTTATGAATCTTACTGAAATCCAGAAACTACATCAGTTAGTACCCCACATTTTCATAGCTAATTTAATAAGTTTTAAACATCCTCCCTTCTCCCCTACCCATCCTTTTCTATCTCTCGGTAAATACATAGTGTCAGCTTAAAGAAAAAGTTTTCCTTTAACTAAGATAAAAACAATTTATCATGAGAGTTTCTGAGGAAAATAACCCTATCTGTAATTCCTTTTTCTTTGTTTTTTTTTTTTGTCTTCACAAAACTAAGATGTGCCTCTAAACAATCTGAGATTAGAAAACAAATTTATGTTATTATATTTAAAAATAATATATCGAGAACTTGTAAAATGATCAGTAAATGTTAGCATTTTATAATTGGATTTATTATAAATTTTAACCTTTTAAAAGATACATGTTAAATTTGTTTTCCAATTAAATTTAAGAATTAAAAGCATTTGTGCAGTATTAAGTTTTAATTAATAATGAAGGATTTCCAACAAAAACTTTTGTTGAACTATTCGAATTGATCCCACTATAAAGTGTATCCTTAACAAATCTAATTGATTTGCATAAAACATATTTATAATAAATGTAATCTGAACATAAAACAAA